CACAGCTAATAATTAAGGTTCACCTGAAATAGAAAATTCCTACAATAAACTACGCGTAAGAATCGTATTGCCAGGCGAATAACGATAGAGCTGACCTTGTTCGAAAATCAGATATATGAAACCCCGCCGCTGTGCCTTCCAGGGCCCATTAACCCTCAACGCTTGAATAATTCGGATCGTCCTTAGTATCGCAGATGAATACTCAAATACGACCATAAGTATCGAGAGGAGTAAATCCGCTGGGGAGAAAACTTGAGTAGCATTCATTAAGAGCAAAGGACGTCGGTACCACTGAAGACAAGCACCGCCGTCAGTGAACGGAAATTAAGAAGATGTGGGTATAGAACGTACAGGGGATTGTTCGAAGAACCAACACATTTGAGTCCTGGAACATGCATCTATTACTTTCACTGTTAGCACACAGGATGTCGGGAATAAATCTGACTGACGATGTCTAATATAATGCATGCCAGGCCAATGGCGACGAGGTAAATTATGATAATTTTGCTCCTAGCAAAGATGGCATATGTGTGCCCGGTGAAAGTCACTGCAGCAAACTTAAACTAAACAGTTCACTGGCAGTCGCCAAAATTGCATCACACACCAATAACGGCAGCTCGCCCAATGACGCTAAGCGCCCCAATGATTTTGTACCATGTGTCGCAACTGTGTCCTTACGAATCAGCAGATTGTTGTTTCCTCTCCCAAAGTAGATCTTACTAAAAGATCGAAAGTGAGAAGAGTGAATCGGAAACGCGACAAAAAAGGCAATACCCTAGCGCCTAATTTCTTGGCTATAGCCAGTAGATAGAGGACGTTCGCGATGAGGGCGTAGCGACAGCAGATATATAGTACAGTCGACAACTTGAACTTTGAGCCCCACACGTACTTAACCTCCATTGCAAAGGTCAAAGCATAGTCATGGTAGAGAAGGGCTGCGATGCTGATCAATTCGAGGTAAGAAAAGCATGAAAGCGATCGTACCAATGCTGGAATACTGGATTCGGAACTGAAGGAAACTGAGGCGATGGTTAATCCAATAGAAAGAATCCGAAGTCAGCGACGTACTGTGTAGCAGCAGCTTTTGTCGCCATGATGTGGAGAAAGGAAGATGAGGAGCCACTTTCATACAGTCGAACTAGAATGGAACCGGCGTCAGTTCAGCGTGAATAAGGATATATATAGAGTATGTTCGGTGTCGACGTAGAAAAATGGAAATCAAGAACCTGTCATTGCGAACCCTGGATGAAATTTAACGGCTTAAGGGAAGTCGTTTCCATCCACTTGTGTCCTCCGGCAAGGTACCAGGCGCTTTGTAGTAGGTAGGTTCATCAATATAAATATAGAACTCGCCTTCGCACGTAAAGCATCCGTCGAATCAAGCGCAGCCCCCAGCCCCCTCAGACCGAAACCGAAGATTCTCATTCTGACGGTCAAATCGACCATCGGGCGTCGAACTCGTCGATAGAATCGACAGGTATGGGTTTCACGAGGTAAGATGCGTGTTATCGATCGCGTGCGCAAACCAGCGGGTAGACAGTATCAGCTGGAGAAGATCAAACTCGATTATCGCGTAAGTATTCAAATCCCCATTTGTGTTAGACGCGAGCAACCAAGGGGGACATATCAATGAAACATGGGCCAGCCTCTGCTTAGCCTCTATCAGAGTTTCAGCGTGTTTAGAATGTTGAAAGCGATACTCGCACGATCCTCTATTGTATGTTTCCGGTGATGCTGATTGTAGACTTGAGTCGAGGAAAGAATCAGAGTCGGACCTGAGACATCACATCACGATAGTCGTACAAAGATTTCCAGAGGCAGGTTGCAATTGGGAATCCAGTCTCACAGGGCGGCGAACGAAATCCGACACGGACTGTCACTGGGCGGCAATCAGGTCCAGCATCTCAAGAGTAGAAAGCTACTGTGTTCCGTAAACAATATCATAAGCTGTGAAATCCGATTTGATCGTGATGAAACCAAACTACGTCGTCCAACCACAGAACGTGCGCGCCGAATTGGAGCCGGTATATTTTGATGATAGATGTCTGACACCATGCTACCAGATTCCCCAAGAGTGCTGGAATGATTATGGCGATGATGAAGTTTACTCAATGGAGGGACTGTGGTATGAGGAGGCGTAATTGAGCATGAATGCATTATTCCACATATCTGCAGGATTGAAGCAATAATACATCGGTGATATCGCCATTCTTCGCCCTTAGAAACAATGTGCAGTACTGTATCTTTGGGCGAGCATAACGTCAACAACGGAAAGAAAGTTCCCATGTAAAAAGTCCCCCATCAAAAGTCGTCCAGCTCTATACCGCTGGCTAGTCCTGCGGAGTTCGCTCAGATTGCCACAGTCGCAAGTAAGATGCAGGTATTTATGAGGACCTATTCAGTTGTACATTTACAGTGAGAGCAAGTGGAAACCGCAGCCCACTCACTCGATTCAAAGAATGGTTGATACCAGCCGCATACAATGCGAAGCCCATACAAGGCCGCTAGATTGGAGGCTGATGGTAGGCTATACAATATACTGGCAAGAGGCCGTCCACGCGACATAAAGATTGGTCCGAGCATACTGTCTTCTCGCCGTTGTCGTCATCCTGTTGTTATTCTCCCCGGTTGTACTGTATCTGGCTATTTTCTGCTCCTTGCCTTCGCAGTCGTATTGCTTCGTGCTCGCAAGGAATACGTGGTCCATTTGCTCCTGTCTGAAAGTATATCTACCAGGCTGATCCAGGAGAAAGACGGAGAATTCGAGGGCCCTCTCACCTTTCCCATCAGCAAACAACGCTAAAGGTCCATGTTACATCTGAACAACATCTGAATACCGCAACGGTGTAGGAATGAGCTGCCGGGAGTCGAAGTCCAACGAGTCTCCTCATCGTCGCCTGCATTGGTTGTCCTGTAATCATAGGTATCGGTTACGAAGATAGGTCGGCGGAGTTGCAGGTAAAGAGCGATGGACCCGTTTTTAGTCCAAGTAACTGAAGAGTGCCACCCAACCCTAGACGAAGATTGATGTCAGAGGCTAAGATCTACGAGACTGACCCCGTTTGGACTCACCGACTGGCTTGCACCTTTAGGCCGTGGACACACGACCTAACATGAGGACAAAATGGAGCCCCTCGACGCTGACGTCCTCCCCTTCAGCAAAATGATTATGCATAGAATGTTAGACGCCAGTCGGAAGACCCTGAAGAGCTTGTGTGCCAAAGGTCTCAATCCATGTGAGCATATCCCCGGCGAGTCGCGATTGAAAACACACCTTTTTGCAGACACGCTCTCCAGCACCAATGCTCTCGTCAATGTTGACGCTTTTGTTCATGAAGACATGGAGATCCTTGATAGTGATCTCTATCTGGTCGATTGGAAGATAGACTCGAGCCAGTGCATACTTCGGTCGATGACAGTCGATCAACTAGAGCGCTAAAGGCCTGACTCGTTCCCACGATACCGGTCCATTGTCCGATACTACCATGATCACCGCCCGCGTCACCCTCGACACAATGCTACATCCACTAGGCATGTACGAAATTCCGGTGCTCTAAAGGATTCGTGTTACTGGTTCATTTTGGCCGACTTTCGATGTACCGTTACATCGCTGTTATGCAGGACTTCTTGGGGAAGCAGGAATTGCGTTACCGAGGATTACCGCCGAGTATTCTTCGACTCAGCAGGTGAGTATATCGCAATTTTTGTCACTATGAGTAGTCTGACTGTAGCGCTTAGTCCAGATATCGCTCTCATACGTATTTCATACCTCAACTTCAACCATGTCAAGCGCTGTCGTATATCCTCACTACCCCAGTCTCGCGTCTCTCTGAGCGTCTACAAAACTCTCGTGTTCGAAGGATCTGAGGCAGTACTGATTGTGAATGCACCGTTCGGAGGCACATTGTCCTGTGTGAGTCCATCGCGTCGTTTGTCATTCTGCACTGTCTGACCGTAGTTAGATTATCCTTGTCGCGTCCGCAAGCTCGAGCGCCTGACCCTGTTCTCTCGTCTATGATCCACATGCCCAATCCTGGATCCTAGCCTTCAAGCTTCCGGCTCGTTCTTTTGCTGCTCGAATAGAGATGTCCGCGTATGCTTGCCAGATGTCCTGACGTCGATATCGCCGGCTACCATTAAACTCGAGCCGGAAACCTCGTTGCCAGGGTTATCCCCTCCCAATCGTGCGTTCTTCTCCTAGCACACTCTAGCTTTATGCTCATGTGTGAGAATAGCTTGAACTCGAAAGCTTGAACCGATCCTTAAGCATCAAACGCCGTTGCTGATGGAACGATAGGACGAGGGACGCAGACGATGTGGAGGAGAACAACTAGGTGTTGTTTTCTAAAGCGACTGTATGGGGTGTTGCGTCGCTCGAACGTCGATGATTGTAATACAGCACCCGCAAATATTGAAACAAAGCTCACCTAGCAGACAACAAACCCGAGAAAAGACATTGGTAGTCGTTCTATTCAGGCCATCTATTCTGAGTATGCATAACGACTCGCAAAGGCATAACTTTGACAAGACATATAACTTCGAATTTATTATAATGCGGAGAAAAATGAACATTCTACCAATCATGAATCGAATACGAGGAATCGAACCTCGCGCTGTAACGTTAGCCGTTACACCTATCGAGCCGTAGTAGGTCTCGAACTTTTACGTGTTACCACCACAATTTGGCTCTCAAATCTCAAATGCACTCGAACAGAGACCGCCGGCATTACCACCACGTTGTATGTAATTTGAATCCTATCCGGTAGATTCACGTCATGGCCTATAATGGGGGAATCGGACGTCTTTGCGATACCAAACCAATTTGAAGGAATCAAATTTGTACATAAAATGACCGGTTGGTCGTAATATAATCTAAAATGTCATTCAAATGCCGGAGGAGAAGGGAGGCCAACCGGAGATGTATGGACTTTTGCGTCCGTTTCAACGGAGAACTAGCACAACGCAAGGAGGAAAAAAAAAGGTCCCAAGTCACATGTTTATTCGGATACGGGGAATCGAACCCCGAGCTGCCGCGAATAACAATGAGAGGCGGCAATGTTAGCCGTTACACCATATCCGAGCAGGTGTGGCTGCGCTGGCTTGTCTCTCATTTATTATCTTTTTTTGACAAACCGTTACCAGCCTAGTTTCACGCGACGTACTACGCTACATAGTCCGAGTAACACTTTCGCTATGGGAGAAAATTGTCGCATTCCGTATTCTGCGACTAGTAATTGGATGTACGGAGGGTGTAGGACACCGCGACAACAACCTCGCCCGCCAAGGGAGAGTCAAGGTGCTAACTCTGACTCCGAACATATGAGTCACGAAGAGGGCTAAAGATCGGGGAGTTTCCCGGAGAAATGGGACGTCTTTTTCTTTTCGGAGCCTGCTTTCTTATCACTTTCCTGCCTTTAGCGTTGACTTTCTCCAGAGGACAAATTTTCACCCTACAAATATAGCGATGCCTGTCCAAAACTAGCCGATGAAGAGCATGCTCCAACAGATTTCTATGCAAATTCTCCACCTGCAAAACAGCCGGCATGGCCTTTGCCCAACACGTCTTAGCGCCATTTCGTTCTCTACTCTCCAGATTATGGGACAGACCTCAGCGATACCTCTTACTCATCTGACCGTCTTTCTCTTGGGTCCTTGTTCAAGGTGCCCATCCTAGAGAAAAGTGCAAAGTGAAATCTACGCTGTTCCACGTCGCTACTCCGATACATGAAATCCGTATACGCCGTATCTCGCGGCCCCAATCATACCATTCGAGCCCCGCCCTCTGCTTGGCATAGATCCCCTCGACTAATGGCCGAAAACGTGATCGGAACGATTGATGAGTCGTTCCAACTTCCAAGCGGAAGTACCAAGGGAACACTGGGCCATTCGAGTTGCTTTTGTTGGTGGGTCTGAGCTATGCAGATAATTATCGTGTGCAGAATGTATACTGTACATGCAGGACGGTATGCTTAGTGGTGCCATCCCGGTTCCATGACTGTCTACTCTCTGGTACATAGCCTTACTCTACCTTTTTGCTGACTCCCGTCTCTAAGTGGAAGCAACTCCGTTTATTGACTTTCCATCGGTCCCTCGAATATGACGGATGAGCAACACGTCGTCGGGGGTGCAGTTTGTCGCATGGGCAGATTACATCCTGACGCTTGCCACAAATATCGCAAATCTCGATGGCAGTATTCGGGAATGGTGCTGTGATGATGAGCCATCTGGCTGGTAGCGGGTCGTGATGCACCTTGTGCGTCGTCGGCCTCGATTTATAACTCAAGAGAGTGGTGGGAGTGAGTATCGTCGATGTGTCTGTTTTGGTGAGTGGTTTTCATTTTCTGGTTTCTCGTCACGGCCATTTTTACTTGTGGGGCATACATACATGCGGTTGCGGAGCGCTCAGCGAGCATGTTTGCCAATGTAGCCGTTTACAACATGTACTACTAATAGAACGAGATCGTACTGCGAGAAAATGAATATTTCCATCTCATTATGGTAAGCTAGGGAATCGAACCCCAACTTCGGATCTGGATCTGAACTTTGAAGTAATATTGGCAGCTCTGCCATACTAGTTGCACTGCAGTAATTTTGGGGCCTAGAAACCTGGGGTTCAAGGCGGGACGTTATGCCAGAAATATAAGCAACAGCAAGTACGAAATGAGATATAGTACATAGCTAATGCTTCAAGCTGGCAATCATGGCGCAGCCCTTGCTTTATCGAGCGGCAGCGTCGCAGATAGAAGACGCCCGTTGCTCATTAGATGCACTGTAAGATGTTTTGATGTACCTGCAGGAGGTAGCGATATACTTGTTCTTGTTCACCGCGTCATTTTCTGCCAATTCAACTCCGGGGAGTAAAAGGTACCACATGCAGATTGCATTGAAGGTATACAATATTATACATACAGAGTATTACAAATGTCCATTGTCACCCCGCCTTCGAAAAAGAGAAGCCTAGTAATTGTAGTGGGCGTTCCAGCAAGAAGTGTCGTAGTACTTGTGGTCATCCCTGTTGCCCTTGTCGTCTTTCTTTCCATCCTTGCGGCCCTTTCCGTCTTTGCGGTCCTTGTCATCATCACAGTCTTCCTCCCACGTCTCGATGTCGATGATCTCCACGAACAGCTCGCATACGAACTTGTCATCGAATTTATCTTTCGAGTAGACTATAAAGATACTGTAAAATAAAGGCCGAGCGAGTAGGAGAAACATCAGACGTACCCTGGCAGGAGTTGCACTTGTCATCCTTCTCGCGGAAGGACTTGCATTCTGAAGACAAGACGTCGGTGACATGGACAAAATGGAAGAGGTGCGCCTACCAATCTCGAAGGTGATCTTGTCGACTTCCTTGTGGTCGTATGGAGTGTACTTGCCCTTGTTCCACCCCTTGAAGTCCTTCTTGTGTTAAAAGACCAGCTCCCAGGTGCAGTCCTTGCGCCCGTGGTTCTTGTTGCCGTAGTTGTAGTCCTTGCTACCACCGACATTGTGATGGTCCTTGCCCTTGTAATCGACGCCGCCATACAAGTCGTCTCTGGATTGAACGGAATCAGAGAGGGCGGGGACCGCGAGAGCGGCGAGAGGGATGAGAGCGGCAACTGAGAAACGCATAGTGAATGAACGAGCTTAAGTAGGTAGACGAAGATGATTTGTCTGGATACTGTGGGCGATTTTGTAGTCCTTTTATATCCTGTTAGCTACCGGAAATCCCCCCTGCGGCCGCGTAAGTGGCTGTCTCAACCAACAGGTATGCTTGGTGAGTGTCGTATTGAAACAGCAGCGAACACGAGATGGTGGATACTTGTAGCCAAGAGTAATTTTGGTCAAGATCAGCAAAGTAGCCATTTCCAAATACGGGGCAGACATCAACGTCAGTCTCAGAAGAAACGTGGAAATTTGGTGAGTAACAGAAGAGGGCAAAGAGTCGACGCCCATACTAAAAGACATTTCAGTTTCGTCAAGGACGACAAGATTAAACAGATCCGTCGAAGGTGGTCACCAGCTCGACGAGAAACATCGAACTTCTCAACGGGAACCGGAGCCTCGGTGCCACAGACAAGAGAAATAGTCCGCCAAGTACTGTACATCAGCAAAATGGTCACTTCGTCTTTGTGGTCTTTCAGCACTTTCCAAAGTCGTAAAAGCTTTGAAAGACACCAAATACAATATCTTTCCATAAGAAGAAAATGTATTTCACAAGACACGTACCTTGTCTTGTCAAGTAGATTGAAACTTTGAAAGACCACACATTGTCTTTCATACAGCAACATCTTTTATATATTTTAGTTTGCTTATTGCTTTGGAACATCACAAACGACAAAAGAACATAGAAAGCATAGTGGTAATTGGCATAATCATACTATATGGGCATACAGCAAGTAGGAACATTTAAACAGTAAATAACACTAGTATGAGAAAGCTTGATTATGTAGAAGAAGGATGTCTGCGCTCTGGTGACGACCTAGTAGCTAGTCACTGGAGTAGCTCTCTGCAGTCTCCCTGGCCCATCTACGTCCTATCCCATTTGTACTGCAGTCATTCAGATCAAATTAGATGGTGTTTGAATCCAACTCCTGCGCCCAAAAAAAGACATGAGCCTCGAAGGTACCTGTGGTGAGCAACCATAATCTCCTGGACTAGGGACTTACCTTTAGACAAATGGCAACACACTGGAATGGAAGGGCATCAGCGCTCAAAAACCAGCCCCCAGGGAGAGTAACGTACCATGTGCAAAGCCCATTTTTGTACCCATCCAAGATCCCTAGACGTGATATGCACCACACCACCTTTGTGTTGAGCTTGCCAGAGCATGGTGCCTTCGCATGCTGGTGTTTGGCTTGCTAGTTTGATGCTGAGGTTTAATGCTGAGGTTGTCCTTTGAATGAGGATGGAGGGGGAAAGGAAGAACGCAGAGATGAATTCAGATTGACTTTTGTTTTGGATCCAAAAGTCAACATCACGTGAAATGACATAATTGGCCTGTGCGCAGGTGCCCTGGCGGAGTTTGAAAGAACTTCATAGATTTTCAGTTCCTCTTGTGTTCCTCCCCCGCTATTCTGCTACTATGATGTAATCTTTCAGAACCCAGTTCTGAAACATGACGTCATTGCCAGCACGTTCATGCAAGCGCTCAATGTCATAGTATAATGTAAGTATTGAGTGAACAAAAATCATGCAACCACTGGTATTCAAACCCACAGTCTAGCCATAACAGACACTCATTCAACATACTCTACCATGTGTACTTACCAGATTTGGTAAGATGCGAAAGATACCAAAGACCTGGCTCCAAAGATCAAGACATGGCTCCAAAGATCAAGACGCTGAAAGGAGTCCAAAAAAAGACAAATCTGCTAAAGACAAATTAGCCATTTTGCTGATGTATAATTTCGATCGGTTCGTCAGGCCGTGTGACCTGTGACCGCGTTGACGAAATTTCGGTTTCGTCGTCACCTAGATATTGCTGTGACCAACCTGAAATTTTCGTCAAACTATTGAAATCCATTTTCTGAGCGGCTTGAATGCTGAATGTCCTAATTAAATATGTAGTACACTAAATATACAATTCCTGTGCAAATGCTGGCTTCATAGCGGTCATAAGTTGGTTGCGAAGGATTACAGTATTTGATCAAAATGGTAACGTCATTTATAAAAAACCTCGTCTCTGCGACGGTCATGCCAGGCTCCCTTGGTCATCAGCCAGCCTTTGGATTTGTGCATCAATCACTTGCTATACCAGGTCCAGAACATGTTCACGTAGATACCTTTAATACAGTGTACTTCATGTGTATTAAAAGACATAAATAAAAGGGTTATATCTATCCGCATTTTTCAAGCATTTTTTGAGTACAAAAATGGATTCGTTAACGGCGCTTGTGACCTGTGACCAGTACCAAAATCCGTCGCCGTCAAGGGGGTCTGTGACCTGTGACCGACGAACCGATCGAAATTATACAGTAAACTTTTCAGCTGTAAGTTTGCCGACTTGCCGGTTGCACCTCCTGCGGACTTATTCTCACGCTCCCGATCCGTCTTCCACGATCGTGTCGACGCGTCTTCATGAGTCTTCGCCTAATACTTGCG